GTGTGTCTGTGTGTGCGTCTGTCCCGATTTTTCATCTCAACACCTATAAAAGGTGCAGGGCTCAAACTTTGCAAACTTGATCTACACGCACGTGCGGGTCCCAGTCCCCAAAATGGGCGCCATTACCTGCGTGGTACCCACGTAGGGACCCGCCAAAATTTTTTACGGGTAAGTTCATAACTCGGGAATCTGAAAGCTGAAATCTTAGGGTGATATTCCCCGTCCAAGTAGGTATTAATGCACTCAAACCCATCCTCCGGGTAAGTATGGTACCCGCGTGCGGACCCGCCAAAATTTTTTTAGATAAGTTCATAACTCGGGGATCTGAGAAGGCAGAAAATTGAAATCTTAAGAGGATGTTCCTCGTCCAAGTGGGTATTAATGAGCTCATGGGTAACCGTGGTACGCACATACAGGCCCGTGTATGTTTTTTTTTCGGGTCGATTGATAACTCAGGGATCTGAAAAGCTAGAAGGCTGAAATCTCAAGGGGATGTTCCCCGTCCAAGTGGATATTAATGAGTTCAAATTCAGCCCTCGTGTGTGCGTGATACCCACGCACGGGCCCGCGAGAGTTTTTTCCGGCTAAGTTGATAACTCGGGAATTTGAAAAGCTGAAGGACTGTAATTTTAAGAGGATATTCCCCGTTCACCTAAGTCTCACTGAACTCAAACCCAGACTCCGGCTTCGCGTGATACCCAAATGCAGGCCTGCCAGAGCTTTTTTCGGGTAAGTTGCTAACTCAGGGGCCAAGAAAGCTAGAAAGCTGAATTTTTAAGGAGGTGTTTCCTAACAGTTCTGATGGCCAATCTTAATTTGTTTAGCTAAAAGCATTTGCCGAAAAAACTGGTGCCGGTAGCGACAAAAACTACGGGGAACTATGCAAAAAACGCATTTTCGCGCGGGCAGTCCGTACGTTAGCCAATTATGTTACGTGGCATACAAAGAAATTTGCTTTTTCGGTGATATCTTTCGTGATTTCCTTTTATTCTTGAGGCGGTGCGATCATGCTTCCTTTGCCCCTTCCTCACATTGTCTCTAATATTTGTAGTATTTCCAAATTGGAGCAAAATCCTGTTTGCATAAGACGAGGTTTTTTTCCTTTTTCTACGTCAAGGCGTCGGCAACTTTGAATTCGATTTTGCGCTCTGGTGGGGTTCTGGATTTTTGTTCTGGAGATTGATTACCACGACAGGCATACAGACAGACAGACACACACTCACAGGGAGGATTGGCTGAGCTCAAATACATCTCTGTGGCTTTGAAAAAACCGCTTAATTTAGAAGTATATGCTGGAATACACAGTTTTTATATATCATTCGGATACGCATTATCGTTATCAGCTTAAGTTTCAAGTGTCATTTTTTCCTTGCTTTATGTTTTATATAATAATTATTTATGTACCTGCTTGTTCAGTTAGCAGTGTTGTCTTTGGCCAATATAAAGACATTTAAAAAGAAGTGAATAAAACAGCAAAGTAGATATATTTTAATTTATCGTCTTGGTGGTTCTGTTTGTTCTTATCATTTAGGTTATTTTGCTTAAGGATTTTTATAACCCACTGGTTATCATTGTTTTATTCGCACAGTTGCATCTGGGGAAATTTCATAGGCAAAATATTTCCCGCATTTTTTTTTTTTTTTTTGACTTATTTTCTTCGTTTCCATGGTCCAGTAACTGAATACTTTCATTACTCTTTAAACGAATAACAGGATGATCTTCAGCATTGTGGGCCGATCCAAAAATTTGAATTTCTGGAGTTAGCACAAGATCGTAGTCGGAGGAAAAGTAAT